TAATTTCAATCTCCAGCGGAGAATTCTCATATTTGCATCTTGGGCATTTTTAAACCAAAGTAAAGGCTTATGATCTGTGACTAATGTAAATTTCCGCCCGAATAAGTATGGTCGGAAGTGTTTAACACAGTATATTATTGCTAATGCTTCTTTCTCGTATGTATCGTATTTTATTTCATTGTCGGTTAAAGTTCGTGATGCGTATGCTATTGGTCGGTCTTTATTTATTTTTTCTTGTGATAAAATGCCTCCTACGGCAATTCCAGAAGCGTCGGTAGTTAAAATGAAAGGTTTTGAAAAATCAGGATATTGTAAAACTGGTTCTTGGCACAATTCTTGTTTTAATTTTTCGAAAGATTTTTCTTGAACAGATGTCCAATCAAAAGGCGTATTGTTTTTTAATAGGTTCGTCAAAGGTTTAGCTAATTTTGAAAAGTTCGGTATAAATCTCCTGTAATATCCTGCTAACCCAAGAAATTGTTTAATATTTTTCGGAGTTTTTGGCCTAGAAAATTGTCTCACGGCTTCTAATTTTCTTGGATCGGGTTTAATTCCATCGCTACTTATTATGTGTCCTAAATATGTTACCTCGGTTTTTAAAAATTCGCATTTATCGGGCTGTAGTTTTAAATTAGCTTGGCGGAGTCGTTCCATTACTAAATTATACCTTCTTTCGTGTTCTTCTAATGTAAGAGCGGAAATAATAATATCATCCATATAAATAAATACGCCTTCTATTCCTGTTAATATTAGATCCATTAGTCGTTGGAAGGTAGCGGGGGCATTCTTTAACCCGAAAGGCATTCTTTCGAATTCATAGTGACCATTAGGAGTCGTAAATGCGGTTTTATGGCTATCTGCGGGGTCCATTTCTATTTGGTGAAACCCAGAGGCAAGATCACATACTGTGAAATACTTTGCATTGCCTAATTGGTCGATAATTTCGACAATGTTCGGTAATGGGTAGGCATCGCCCATGGTTTTTCATTTACGCCCCGGAAATCTAGTACCACTCTCCAACGTTTGTTTCCCTTTGAATCTTCCTTTCTTGGCACTATCCAAATGGGTGTATTGTAAGGTGACTGAGAAGGTTTTATGATCCCTGCCTCGAGCAGTTCCTTTACCTGCTTATTTATTTCTTTTTTGTGGATTTGCGGAAATCTATATTGTCGAGTATTTATAGGTCGATCATCTGTTGTCTGTATTTGATGTCGCAGTACATGAGTTGCTGTTAATTTTTCTCCGGGAATATGAAATCGATCTTGACTATTTCTTATGAGTTTCATAACGCTTTTCCTTTCTTCGTTATTTAAATGCTCTAATCGTAGCAATTTTGTAATTTCCGTAAGCCTATCTTTCTTAGGTTCTCCGGATGATACGAAACATTCGCGTGAAACAGGGAGTCGTCGTCTCCGGCTTCTTGAAGAAGTTCTTCCGTTTCTCCTTAGCGGGTGGGGTCGTCAGGGTCGCCTTGCCGGGTCGCACGTTCCCGACACTATCGCTGTCGTCACCTGGCGTAGGTGGTGTGGAACCACGTGAGGGCATACCACTCTCGCCAAGGTTCCCTGAAGACCCTCCTCGCGTCGAGTAGAGGCCCTTCGTGCCACGCGCGGCGCTCGCCTGTAACCTTAAGGCCTCCAGCTTCACAGGTGACGGGATGAAACCCACGTCGCAATTCTCTTTCACGAGCCTGCCGATCCACCAGTTGTTGTCATACTTCTCCTTGATGTGAAGAAAGTCACGGACGTCGAAGCTGACGGCCGAACCGTGGACAGGTGAGTCATCGTCGACGGATCCGTCATAGCTCACGTTAGTCCGCACTGCAAATGCTACCGGCTTCGATCTGGCTTTTTCGAGTTGATTGAGGGCCTGTCTCTCCTTCTCGCGTCGCAGGCTCTCCTTCTCCTCGTCCAGAGAAAGATCCGAGCTCGGCTGCGAATAGTTTGAGTCCGCCGAGCCCGGGTTGTTGGTGAGATTTGCCGAGGTGGATGCAGCGGTAGGACGATGATCGTATTTTTCCGGATAGTCGCGTGAAATAACGTTATTAGTTGGTGCTTCTAATATTAGCTGATTTTGCTTTGATTTACGTTGGTTCCGGAAATTTTTCATTATTTCCTGGAATCGAGCTTGTGCGCATGCCAATGTTTTTGAAGACGGTTTACTTTTTCTGTTAAATTCATAAATTTTTTCCATATTAAGATTATATGATTTTACTCTTCTCATAAGTTCTGCAATAGTAACCTGAGAGGTATTGTTTTTATTATTATCACTTTTTATGGGTATTCCAACCCTTGG